TAGAGTGAGTTAGCTAATCATACAGCACATTCCATATGACACATATGACCCAGATGTGAAACCAAAAATATTGCCATTATGATGAGATCAGAACAGAAGATGGAAATTTTAAAATCTGTAACATTGCCTAGGCAACATAAAACCCATAAAATGGCTTGCAACAATTGGTGGAAAAAACCACAAATCACTATGCAAAATATAAGATAAGTGTGTGGCAGAATTATAGCCCCTTAGCCCATATGGTATTTATACATATTGTTTTTATTTGTAGGCATACAAAAGAGAATAAATGTAAATATCTCCTTTTTGATAAAAGAAGAAAAAATAATACTTTAGTATTGCCTTAAGTTTATAAACAACTTTCATCAGGAAGGATCCCTGACTGACAGGGGAACTGAAATGCAATATTCAAAATGTATCCTTCAAAATGTTACACTTCATATTTCTGGTAGCATTGTTCATTTATTTGAAACAAGGGCTTCTTAAAGCTCTGTCTATCTTTTCTATGTTTAATATAAGTTTAACAATTTTGGAGCTCAACAGATAAAAATATCCAGTTGAAACAGATTGCTCTTCTAGTCTCAGTAACTAAACTGAGGCCCAGAAAAAATGTCTTTGCCTAAGCTAATGGCATCTATTGGTGTGTCTTGGTCTAAAGACCTTCCTCTTTTGCAGAGGACAGGGTGGTTGCATAACAGAGTTTTTGCTATATTTGCAGCAGAACTGTTTAAAATTATGACTCCTTTATGCATCTTTAAGAGTGTCCCCTGCCACCTCTAGCATGTAGTCCTCCTCCCCTGAAGGAAATTCTGACCACAGTACTGAAAATGACAGTCTTCTTGAGTCCCAGCTAGGGTGCTAGAGAAGGGCCTTCACACCCACACCTGCAGCAGAGTTGTTGTTGGTGAAGCTTTTTATGAGGATTGTGGCTAATGTCACTTGACAGGTGCAAAAGATTCTTCCTTGAGCAGTCACAACGGCTGCTGGATCATTAGGTCTCCATTAGGGATTTATGTCTTTTTGCACAAGAAGTAGTCCTGTGCTGATTTTTGAACAAGTGCAGTTTTTCAGTTCATTTTGTCACTCTGCCATGTGCCCTGAAATCTAGTGATATTAAGCAGTGTTTCAGCAAAAACTGTTTTGAGAGTGCCTCTCTTCTTTTCTGTTTTCTCTTTATTTTCAATACTGTCAGCTCTCTCCTCTAAATTGCCAACCTGTGCTTTATGAGCATCTCAAGTTTTGTTCTAAGCAGTATTAATACAGACAGGCTGTCAGCAGCCTCATTGTGTAAATACTCCATTGGTTCCCTGAGGGAGCCATCTTGCTTTGAGCTACTTAGCACTTGGTCTATGAGTTGGTGGCTGTAAGGAGGCTGGTGTCCCTGAGGAGCCAGGTTAAACAAAACCCCACAGCTTGTCTCATCTTTGTTTTTCCCCTCCTGCCTTAATGAATGCAGAGAGCTTTTGTTGACGTCTGCTAAATGGATCCCTTATATAAAAAAAAAGTTAACAGCAGTTTCTGTCATGGATGGCCATAAGGCTGAGTTTGACTGGGAGAAGGAGGACCACAGAAAGAGTTGTTCTGAATAGTGGCCCTTAGTTTGCATGGCAGAAGTGTAGAGCATCATCTGGCTTCAGTCATGTCGTGCCTTCTCAGCATCTCCCCCAGTTTAGTGGCGAAGCAGAAGCAGCTGTCAAGATTGCCAGGAAAATACATTGAAAAGGCAAGCTGAAGAGATAAACGCATGCAGACTGTGCTGCTGGGCTGGAGCAGCGCACCCACAGCAGGCACGAGCAGCCTAGCACTGCATTTCATGTCACACTGTTGTGCAAGCTCTCCATTGCCTGCAGCAAATGAACTCTCAAAGCCGTAAGAGAGGAGCAAGTGACAGGATGAATTAAAGAGCTGCAGCAGCAAGGCAGTAGTGGAAGCACAGAAATGCTTATAGGTTATCAGAAGGGACATCCAGTAAGGCTGCATCCAGTATTTGAGGACAAAAAAAGATGGTTAGGACCTCTCTACAGCATTATCATCATAAAGTGGCATCCATGTAGTGTTACATGGGAAATCCTAGTGAGCTATCAGTCTCCTGGGATACTTCAGGTAAATCTTTCCATATGGGTGCTGCCAAAAAGAAATCAAGTACTAACTCAGAGACCACCACATGTGATATGTGATCCTTGGGACCTACATCAGTGACCACCAGTAGGACAGAATGTGTGGGAGAAATGCTGGAATATTCCTTAGGTACTTCAGAAAGAGCAGGATTGATTAAAACCATTTGATTTCCACTATCAAGAAACAAATTTTGTCAGAGGATTCTATATCCACATCTAATTTTGAAAAGTGCATTCTATCACACTTTAAAAAATCATGTAAGTGGATACATAAATATTTGTGTATGTATATGTATCTAAATATATGTCTCTCATATGTGCATGAATAGATATATGGAATCATAAAATGGTTTGGATTAGAAGGGACCATTAAAGATCATCTAGTCCAGCCTTCCCTTTTAATGGACAGAGACACCTTTCACTAGACTGGGTTCTTTAAACCCCTATCCAGCCTGGCCTTGAACACTTCCAGTGATGGAGTATCTGCAGCCTGTCTGAGCAACCTGTTTCTGTATCTCACCATCCTCACAGGAAAAAAATTCCTTCCTTATATCCAATCAAAACCTACCATCTTCCAATTGAAAACCATTACTCTTTGTCCTGTCACTACAGGACCTGATAAAAAGTCTTTCTCCATTGTTCCTAAAGTCTCCTTTACATACCAAAAGATGGTAAGGCCTTCCTGAGCCTCTTTTCCTGGCTGAGCAGCCCCAGCTTTTTCAGCCTGTCTTCATAGGAGAGGTGCTCCAGCCCTCTGAGCATCTTCATGGCCCTCTGGACTCCAGCAGGTCCATCTCCTTCCGATGCTGGGGAGCCCAGAGCTGCATGCAGTGCTCCAGCTGGGGTTTCACCGGAGTGCAGTGGCTCTGCTGGACACACTGCTTCTGATGAAGGCCAGGATACACAACTGGCTTTCTGTGCTGCAAGTGCATGTTGCCAGCTCATATCTGGTTTTTTGTCCTCATTATCCCCAAGTCTTTCTCCATGGGGCTGCTCTCAATCCATTCTCAATCCATATGTGTTTGTGTATTGATAGGATATCTCAGGAAAAGCAAGAAAATGTGTTACAGTCTCTTCTTTTGATCCTTTCCTATAATCCATTGATTAATTGTTTGTTGGAAGGAAAATCAGAAACTAGAATTCTTCACTGGACGAGTGCCATGACCACCAAGCCACACAGTTATTTTCTTGTCATTAAATACAGGGTTTGTTGTACTGCATGTCTTGTAATGAGAACTTTGCACCTACTTTTACACCAGACATTGTGTGATAACAAGAAATTTCCATCACCTAAGAAAACATATTGAATATTTTTGAGGATATCATTAATATTAGTATTTCTGTGTCAGTTGTTTCAGTCTGTGTTTTGATGTTCTGTTCAGTCCCAGCAACAAGCGCTCCCCTTCTACCATACCCAGAACATCAGTTCACAGAGCTGAATTTTGGGTTTGGCAATAGTCAGGTAGGTGATTTTTCTGAAATTTCTAAAATAAAGGGGAAAAAAAACCCAGAAGAAAACAAAGTCCAGCATTCAGAGAACTGCATTATAAGTGTCTGACTGTGAGACACTTTCTCTGGGGGAGGTCAAGCATCACTGACTGTGCTGGGATCTACTCAGAGCTGAGCACATAAATATCAAATCCAGGGTGGCTTATGTTGAGATGGCATCAACCTCCAGGAAAGCATGCTTTTCCTTTATACAAGAGAATCCTGTGCATGTGGGAGCCTGTGAGTATGATCTCAAGCATTTTTAAATATGCATAAGAACTTAAAATGGCTTTTTTTTTGATTGTCAGAAGAACCAGTGTTAACTCCTGCTGGTGATAAGCAGACCTCTCTGGAGTGTCTCAATCCCTTCCCTCCTCCCACTCCTATACAATTTATAATGCTCCAAGGCTACTTTTAGCCAGTTGCTGGAATGAATTGGAGGAAATCAATTCAGGAAATAACCATTAACTGATTTGTTTTGCTTAAAACTCAGAAGGTTCAGTTCCACTATCATCAGTCAGCAGCAGTAGGAAAAAGAAAAGGGCAAACAGGACGTTGATTATGTTATATGTGCTTTCTTTCAGTTCCCTAACCAAAGAAAAGTACATTAAAAATGTATAAGAATTAGCTGAAAGTGAAAATACAAGGGGTGGGGTTTTTTTCATTAAAATCAAAAACTAGAGGAATTGTTTCTAATGGAACAAAGCATCCTACTCAAACCCAAAGATAAAATGCTGCTAGAGAACACACCTGTGCTGAAAGCAAAGCTACTGTCAAATTAGACTGATGAAATGGGATGAGGAAGAGATGGCAGAGGTACCTCTACCTAGAAGCATTTGAAGGACAGCATGACTGCAGGCCTGCAGGATACTTCAGGGAGGACTGAGAAGGATTTTCCGCCCTTTGCTTTGACACTGTTCTACTTTCTCCTTGCAAACTGGTGCCTGGCATGGAGAATAGAGCCCAGGCATTCTGTGTCCCGAATTAATTCCCCCTAAAGCAAGGGAGTTATTTACTAGCTCCCTTTCTTATCCAGTGTAAAAATAGTGGAACAGCTTTAACAGGAAGAAATTGCATATGTCCCATCTTCACATTGCTGAGTGGGAGTTCAGCCATGCTGTTATTTGGACCAGGATGGATCTAAATGTAGCACTCTGGTCTTCCCAAGGAGCATCTAGTGAGCACGCGACATGCACAGCAGGGCCAGGCTCACTCAGTCACTTCTGTGGGAGATATTCCATTTTTGCACCCTACTTAAACATGCAGTGAACCAGAGAGAGAAAGTGTGATGACCCAGGCTCAAATCCCTGCTTGCTGTCAATCAAGTTGCTGAGTGTATTTGCTGGTTCTCATCCAAATTGTGTGCTGAAAGCGGGGCTAATGGTAAACAGGTTGCTGTCAATGTAAATGTATACCTGATTTTCTTTTCACCATAAACAATTTAATAAGTTCATAAACAGTTCTGTGAAGGCCAGCATTGAAATTTGAAGTTCAGTAAAATATTTCTACACTAAAAGTTTGAATGTCTTGTCTCGAGAATGTGATCCAGGCCTCCTAGGACTTCACAGATAAATTGCTGAATTTTCTTGCAGAAACAGCATGAATAGCCATAAGCCTTTGTGCAGTATGGTCCAAGTGTAATGTTCCTGCCAATAACCTGCAGAAAGCAAGTCCAGGTTTTTATTCTTAGAGAGAAAAATTGTGGGGGTTTAGGTGATGAAATTTATTATCCCTCCATTTCTATTGCTCTTCACCAACCCCAGATCTAAAAAAAGCAGTAATTCAAAGGTTCTATCGAACACAGTGTCCTTGACCTGTGGTCTTACAGGCAAGCCACAAAACCGATCAGGAATTTTAACCACTACTCAGGATTCTGCAATATAATGGGGAAATCATTACCTATATCTTGTATTGTATTCACTCCAGTACTAGCAGTAGGGTTTTGCTGTATTCAGTCTGGAATTGGAGTGATGACACTGTGTTTTGGGGTGGTAACACATATTATTTTTAAATTCCCAATAGTCATTAAATTCTATTTTAGAGAGAGCTATCTTTCATTCCTGTCTTTAAATATTTTATGTAGTTATTTCAAAGTTTTAAGGGTCAACAGTTGAGTGTCAGCCCGCAAAATCATTCACAGGTCACTGTATTCATAGCACTTTTAGTTGAAAAATACATCAATGAACATGCTGCAAATGTACCTGGAGACCATTTACCATGACCATGAGAGTCACCAGTGATCATTGGAGCAGAAATTAGAAAGAAATCACACCAGTAGCAGGGCCAACATAGAGAACATATTTAGAAGAGAGTTTGATGCATCTTTTTCCATTTGAAAGTGATGCACTAGTATAGATCCCTCTTCTAATCAAGTAACCACGATATTTTAAAACATTGTGACATCTGAGATTTAAGTGCAGTTCAGAATCCCTGTGTGATTCTGAAGACTGTAAATGAGTCACTTAGACACTGTCATTAAAAGATTTTAAGGGTAGGCTATATGGGTCATGCAGTTGTTCTCATGAGGTTTTAGGTTCACTGCTACATAACTGCTTGGGAAGAGGTAAAAGTGAAAAGTTGAATGGGAAATCTGATCCTCTAAGTACTGTTGATTCTGCTAGTAAATACTGACTTCTCCCCCACCAGTAACTGGTATGAAGAAGACAACTGAAAAGTTAAATTGTGCATTTCTTAGGTGAAGACACCACTGATAGAGACTAGTGCTGTGCTATTTCATGCATTCATTTTTGTTTTCATCTTTTCAAAATTATTCCTCAAATAATTGAAAGATGCAAACATTTGGGAAGGCATAGTTTTGGTTTTTTTTTTTCCTTCTTAATGATAAATTAAGGCCTGTCTGCAGTAGAAATATTGCATTTTTTCTTAGAAATACTGAGACTTCATCAGTGAAAATGTGAAAAAATCTGCTGGATGGAAGCAATAACTAAATGCCTAGAACACAATCTCATTTGCTAAAAATGTAGGTACTTGAGTATTTGTGGTTTTTCCTCTCCAAGAAGTCTTAAGTTGCGGGACATTCTGGGGGTGCTCTGAACAGGGCAAGGAGAAACTTCTTTCTGCATCTGTCAGTGGGTAGAGTGTCAGCAGGGTCGATGCTTTGCTGGCTCCCACCATGTGATCCTCTTTTAGACATGATCACCTCTAGTGTCAGCAAGGTGCTCCAACCTGTCTCTGCTGAGTTTCCTGACAACTCTGTGGGGTGGTTTCCAGACAGCTGTGAGCCAGTCTGACATCACCAACTTGTATTCAGTTATATTAAGAATCATAGCATCACAGAATCATGGAATGGTTTGGGTTGGAATGGTTTTTAAAGACCATCTAGTGCCAACCCTCCTGCCATGGGCTGGGACACTTTCCACCAGGCCAGGTTACCCAAAGCCCCATCCAACCTCACCTTGTTATGCATTAAGACTATATATGTGCCTGTGTCTGATAAGCTGTATAGGGTTTTACATTTCAAAATGTGGAAATTTTGAAAATTTACATCAAAATAAATCAATGCAATCCATACTGGTTTCAGAAATAAGAAAAATAAAATGTATACCTGAACTCTTCTCAAGCTGTCAGCATCCTTTTGGTGAGCTCACTTGACCAAGGGTCTCCTCTATGTGCTAAAAGAGGCAAAGGATTTTAAATGGTCAGATTGTAAACAAAGAATGCTTTATATGGTAAATGCAAAGTAGAATAAATTTTTTAAAATAATAGGAGAGAAGTACCAGATTGAACAAGCAGTAAATTATTTATTCCCTTTGGACAACTAAACTACTCTGAAAGAGAAAAGCTTTTATAAGAATTGATTGTGTACTAGCACATTATGACTGGAGCAATACTACACCATACTAGTTCTTCAGGGTTTTTATTTCTGTAATATTTTTATGTAATAGCCAAAATGATAAATAAAGCCCAGAAATTTCTTTGTGCTCTTTGTGTGGTGGGATAATGCAGCACCCTTGTCAGGCAAGAAACTACACAGTCTGTCATTTATTCTTATTATTGGCTAATATAGTATCTGATGTGGGGATGTTAGTTCATGAGAAATCTAGACAGGAACTAACATGAAAGGCTGTTAATCCCCATTAAGAAGAATAACAGTGTCATGAGAAATACGAGGACGCTGTTCCATTACGGGTGTTAAATGATGGGGAATGCACCATCCTAAGAAGCTCTCACTAACATCCTTTCTATCTGCAGGTTTCCGTGAAAGTGCATTTATGACCCTTTACATCGCATTTGTCATCATGAACATAACCTTTAGAAGGCTTCCCTGGTTAGCTCCTCTCTCCCCCCCTTTCTAGCACCTGGCCAGGGTCACAGCGCATCTGGTCCTTAGCACCGCAGGCAGATGGAGGACATGGGAGATGTGTGTTTGCACACATCCAGAGCAAACACCGCCAGGATTACCGCCCCCAGCCACAGGGAGGGGACAGGGACTGCACGGAGGAGCAAGTTGTGACCTTCTGCTTGGTTTTGTCACGGTCTCCGACTGCTCAGGAGGAGCTCCTGCATTTGAGACCAGGAGTTTAAATATCACGCTTTATCAGTAATTGCAGTGCTGGCGCTAACCCTAAATCAAAATCTATAAAATGACAGCCATAAACTTTGGAATACAGATTTTACTGCTGACCTCTTGGTGATATCATGGCCAATTAAAATTGTTAAGGTGTGTTCACTGTGCTCCCTGGAACCTGAAGTTCAGTTCTATTTCCAATACATAATTTGCAAATGCTACTGCCCTGAATACTATATATGTGTAAGAGACTGAAAATGTCTGTAACCTCAGTATAATTAGGGAAAGTAGTTAAAATAGGACACTGAAATGCATAGCAATATATCACTATGAGCCCCTTTTTTTTCAGAAAGTACTCTTTCAAACAATACATTTTTAAAAGCATTTATAAAAAATGACCTTTAATTTTTTAGAGATCAGTCAAATTTATATTTTCAATCTACCACATTTTAGATTCATTCTGCTATCTTATATATCTAAAAACCTGATTTCTTGATGGATCCAGATTGTTCTATAATTCTATATACATATTAATTTCTTAGAGTTTAAAACTCTGGTCTCTTATAAAGTTTTGCCTCATTAAATAGTGCCTATAGAACAAAAAAAATATTTATCATATTTTTAACAGGATCATTAGGTTAAATAAAAATTTGAAAATCTTCTGAAAAAAGTATTAATGTTTTTTTTGCTGTGGTAAGCAGGGTTGTGACTCTTTGCTAATAATTTGTAGTAATCCAAATTAGGAAGTGACATTTATGAGCTGTGTTTGGCATAATACATAAAATTTTAGCTAAAGATAGAACTACTGATTTGCACTTTGGCTGGCAAACACTTTTTTATTGGTCATAGTGGTTCCCACCCGAAGAATTTAATAATGTCCAATGTTGTTGGGTTAAGTTAATAAATGGGAAATTAAATTTTATAGATTAATCACTTCCATTTATCAAAGTTCACTTCTCTATAATAAGGAGAGCACAGCATTTTTGTATACATTGCATTTTCCATTTCTAATAACTTACAGCATGTTTTGTCAAGGTAGTAGCAATATATTACATCTAGGTAGCACAACCCATGGAGGGTCCTGTGGGTCAGGGAGCCGTGTCCAGAAGTCCTATCAAAGCTGTGCATGTGGAAATCCTGCAAACAGGGCTGTACTTTTGGGCTGCTCTCCTCCCCAAGGCTTGTGTCTCTAACTCTGGACTGCAGAATGGCACTTAGCTGTAGGTGAAGAAGAAGGGATTACAAGTGACCTCACCCCTGATAAGTCACATTGTTCTAATCACCTAAGGAGAAGAAGAGTCTTGCCCTTAATGAGTTGCAGCTGTGACTAATGAAGATAAGTGTGATAAAAGGGAGGAGTCTGGAGGAGTCAGACCAGCTCTGAGGAAGGAGGTGTGATCCAGAGAGACACAAAGAAGAACAAAACAAGGAACAGAGTTGCTGCTGCAAAAGATCCTGACAGAGTTAGAGCCTGCAGTCAGTCAAGCTAGGTTAAAGCCTGTGGCCAGAGGCAGCAAGGAAATACTTGCAGTCATATTCCAGCAGGAAATAGCCAGCAGAGTCTGTCAGAGAAGCCAACAGTAGGAGCTTGCTGTAGTCAGAGACAGGATGGCTAAGCTGTAAAGAAGAATAAACTGGGGCTCTTTTCAGATTGTGAAATGAGAGTCTGTGTCTTACCTCATTTCTACCCCTAATGAAAGGTCTGCTGCAACACCTGAGACTAATATAGTATATCTAAAGGCAACTGATAAAGAAGGAATAATCTTCCTGTTTTCTGGGCTGCAGCACAAGGGAAAAGGGGAGTAAGGGCCTCTTCCTACGTACAAACTGGAGAGGTAATGAACACTCCCTTACCTGGATCTAGTGGTTTACAGGCACAAGAGTAATTCATTATATAGTCCACCTTGAACTGGGAGTTGATGGGATAATGATAAGCCAGCTTGATCTTCTTCTTGAGAGCATCATAAAATGAAGATGAAACTGATGAGGGAGGAAAATCCTTCTGCAGTGAAGCAGGTGAAGTACTTCACCAGGAAGCTGGCATCAGTGGCCACAAGAATGAGACCCTGGAAGGCTGATCAGAGGTGGAACTCCAGGTAATCAAAGTCATTGTCCCTGTAACACTTAGCTACTCCATATTCATTTGCTCAAGCCACTAGGTACCCTGGCAAACTCCTCCAAGGCAAAGCTGTCTGAGGTGCTACCTGTTATAATCTTCCCCCTTCAGTCCTTCAGTAACAGGTCAGCAGTGAGAGCACTCACCTGGAAAAGAGAAAGCCAATTTTCAATCTCTCCTTTGTCTGACAGGTTTTCAGTCCATGTTGTCTGTCTGCTAGATATTCTCAGCTTCTGCCAGCTACCACTCCTTCCCTAAGGGCAGATGGCTCTACATCTGTCCCTGCTGTTTTGGTTTTTTTTCTCTGTAATAGTGGCTTTTCAGATTGCTGGCACTGTGTTCCTTAACCTTAGCAAAGCATCCTTGCCATGGAGGCCCTGGCTAAAAGGAAGCAGCATTCTCCTGCAGGCCATGTGTTGTGTGGTACTAGCCCTACAGTTTGTTACTAAAAGGCTCCTCATGGTGAGAGCAGTGGGCTGGGAAGCTCATTTCAGGGCTTTACCTCAGGGTATTGGGTGTGCAGGTCTCCAGAGCCTGAATAAAGAGGTGTCTGAACCACTTCAGTGCAATCCTGGTGCCCACACTGGGTGATAGAGGGAGTCAGTATTTTTCCAACTGGGGAACATCCCTTTTCCCCAAGGCAAGGAACATGGAAATACTTGTGACTGTGGTGGGAGGAAGTGGGGAGCACAGCAGCCCAGTTTTGTTTATCTTGGCACATCCAGTAGTAGAAAAGGATGCAGTGTGTGCAGGGACAGGTAACTTGAAGGTGCAGAAAGTTCTCCCTAAAGATCCTAGGCTCCCATGTGATAGAGAAACTGAGGTGCCTGTGGCACACTGGATTGAGTCTCAGTGACAAACTGCTCTTTGTGGGTTGTTAAAGGTTTAGATTCTCTCTGTTTTTAATATGGGGACCTTCTTAGATCATTTAGTTGTGTCTGTTCCATTTGTATATTCTAATTTGTCCAGTCATTGTGCTTTGTTTTGGTCTATTACACTTTGTTAAGTTATGCATTTTTATGGTTTTTTGTCCTACTGCTAGCAGGCTTAATGATATGCTCAAAAGTCATTATATAAATTTGACTTAAACTTAATTTTTTTGTTGTTTGTGTACTTCACAGTAATGAATCTGTATCTAATATAGTCAAATAAAGGTTAGAAAGAAAATAAAATCTAAGTATTTACTTTACAGAAGGGGAAAAAAACCCCAGCCTAAATTGTTGCAAACTTACCTGTTTTAAATAAAGGCAGGACTAATGCCCAAAACATCTGACATAAAGGCTATAAAATCATCTTTATCAAGGACATGTGAAGGAGGCTGAGATTTTGCATTTAATCTGAACCTCCACAGATCCTTCAGAAGTGGCTGGTTTGTAATACAAAATTAATTAGCCATGATACAGGGGAGAAACAAGACGGACTGAAAACAGCTGCAAAGACTTTGGAACATGCTATGCAGCCTCTGATGGAATTATTCAGGCATTTCAGTCAGGTAGGAGGAAGGATATTTAGGGAGATGTAGGCATGGCAGAGGTTACTGAGTGCAGGGTAGCTGGGGAGAAGGTGCTTGTGCCACAGATGTTGTGACCACGCCCAGAGCTGATGGCAGGATGGGTTGTGCAGCTGGTGGCACCCACTCCCCTTGATAAAGGGTTTGCTGTCCATCCCACCAGCCACTGGTTCACTTCTGGGTCTCATTGTACCCTATATGATGGACTCCAAGAAGACCGAGATGTCCCAATATGTAAATTGTTGAGCATTTGAGCCTGAGTGTCTTACATACAGATGTCCATTTCAAGGTCCCTGGGAAATGTGCCTCAGGGTGCCAGACTATCTACTCTAGCATAGTTGATATAATAAGAAAAGATGGCACGTGGCAGCCATATTAGCTATGACCCATGCTGAAGTTCCAGGGCATTTTGCCTCTTAGCCCTCTGTGGTCTGGGTGGGGTATGCACCAGTAAGCAATAAAGCTCCCAGGACCGCTGGTCCCACGTGGTTCAGAAGGAAAGTCATACTTTTGAAAGGGGATAGTAGGAGTTTGATGGGCCTGGACATATTTGTGCTATTTAATTTGTTTGGCAAAAGTTTGTGTAGATAATCTATCTGAAGTGCACATCTCATGATGGAATAGAGCCTTTTATGTCCACAATACATGACCATTATATTAGAGTAACAGGCAGGACAAGGAAATAACAAATGGGAAGATAAGATATTAGTATAGTCTTTAAAAATGTCTATTATTATTCAAAACTCTATAACTGTCATTGCTGAAGACAAACTATATTACAAAAACACACTATAGTATTATCTGAGTTATGGAATCATGGCTTCTAGAGGCATAAATACCATCATTTTGGCATTTCTGCTATGGTGTCAGTACATAGTTCTGCTTGTTCCATAGAATGTGGAAAAGCTAAATTAAAATTTCCTGACAGCTTCTGATTCAGCAATTTTTACAATAAGTAGAGGTTGTATCTACCTGAAAGCCTGTTTGAAATATGAAAAGGAAAAAAAAAAAGGAAGTGAAAAGAGAGCATGAAAGAGAAGAGGGGAAGGCAAAGGAAGAGACCAGAGACATTAGAGAGGTGAAAGAGCACCTACTGGATGCTTCATCCAGGTGGCAGCCAGTCACTACTGGGGTTCCCCGTGGCTCAGTATGGGGGCCAAACCTGTTTAGTGTTTTTGTCCATGATGTGGAGAAGGGGATTGAGGGCCCTCTCAGTCTCTTTGCAGATGACACCAAGTTGGGAGAGAGTGTTGATCTGCTGAAGGGCAGGAAGGCTCTGCAGAGGCATCTGGATAGGCTGGATCCATGGGCTGAGGCCAGAAGTCTGAGGTTCAATAAGGTGAAGTGCTGGGTCTTGCCCTTGGGTCACAGCAACCCCAGGCAGTGCTAGAGGCAGGGAAGCTGCCCAGTGGAAAAGGACCTGGAGGTGTGTCACCAACATCTTTTCATAAAAATCCTTTCTTTAGGATTTTTCCTTCTGGGAAGCTGAAGCCCCAGAAAAAGAATGTAAACAATGGTTATCTGCTGGTGTGGAATGCAACAGATGCACCTGTGGTTGGCCCATGTTAGATGTGTACAATTAAGGGCTAATCAAAGACCGAGCTCTCTCTGAGACAGAATCAGAGAGAGCTCCTTTGTTGTTCATTCCTTTTCTATTCTTAAGTTAGCTAGCTTCTGAGAACTTTCCTTCTATTTCTTTATAGTATAGTTATAATGTAATATATATCATAAAATAATAAATCAAGCCTTCTGAACATTAAGTCAACATTCTCGGCTCTCTCTTCACCCTGAAAAACCCTTGCAAGCCCTGTAACAGAGGTTCTGGTCCACAGCTGCTGAACATGAGCCAGCAGTGCCCAGGTGGCCAAGAAGGCCAATGGTGACCTGGCCTGGATCAGGAAAAGTGTGGCCAGCAGGACCAGGCAGGAATTGTCCCCCTGTACTGGGCACTGGTGAGGCCTCACCTTGAGTCTTGTGTCCATTTTAGGCCCCTCAGTACAAAAAGGACATTAAGGTGCTGCAGCATGTCCAGATAAAGGTAACAGAGCTGAGGAAGGGTCTGGAGCACAACTTTTACAAGGAGCAGCTGAGGGAGCTGGGGTTGTTTAGCCTGGAAAAATGGAGGCTCAGGATGGACCTTATCACTCTCTACAACTGCCTGAAATGCCAGGTGGGGATTGGCCTCGTCTCTGAGGTAACAAGTGACAGAATGAAAGGAAATGGCCTCAGATCGCACCAGGCAAGGTTTAGATGTGATATTAGGAAAAACTTCTTCACCAGAAGGGTTGTCCAGCAGTGGAACAGACTACTCAGGAAAGTGGTTGAGTCACCATTCCTGAAGGTAAAGTCATGTAGATGTGGAGCTTGGGGAATGTGGTTTAGTGACAGACTTGGCAGTTCCAGGTTAATGGTTTGAGTCAATGATCTTAAGGGTCTTTTTCAGCCTTAATGATTCTGTTATTCTATGAATACCAGACTCAATGAAATCTGAGACCAGCAAACATGGTTAAAGTGTACTTATTATCCAGTTAACTCAAACTGACTTGAACACACGTGGAAAGGGTGTTCAGCGTACCTGGTTAATG